CCCCAAAACCCCAAAACCCCAAAACCCCAAAACCCCATATTATTGAGTTATACTTGAAAATTATATGTCATAATAATTAAAATCTTATTTCTCAGTTAAAACTCTATATCCATTCCAATCCCTTGGAGCTTTAAAATCAAGGCTCTTCATATAGCTCAAGATTTGCATAGTTGGGAAGTCTTCAGCAATTAATCTTCCCTCTATTGAATTTAGATATTCTGCAGATTTTTGCCAGTCTCCTCCTATATAATGCTCAAATCCCATTTTAAAAGTCTCAAAGAACTCTTTAGAATAGGGAGATCTCATGATTTTGATATCTTCATCAAGCTCAAATTTTTCACTAACTTGAATTTGATTACTCATAGCAGCTTGTTTGTACCTATTCCTCTCTATTCGCCCTCTAACTTTCTTCATTTTCTTATCCTGTCGCTTATTTCGTTGTCTCTTAGGGACTTCTACTTTAATTAGAGATTGCTCGACATCACATGTTACCATCTCGGTTGGCTCGTTAGACCCTTTAACAGTAACAATGTCAATAATTCTCATGTTGGCTTGAGTTCTTGGTGTACATATTTTTCTCATCTCTCCTGAAATTAGAAGAGGAACACCAAATTGCTTCGTAGCAGCTTCTAGTCTACTAGCTGTGTTTACATTTGGACTCAAATAACTAGCATCAATCTTAAAATCAGAACCGATAGCTCCTTCAATAGCCCATCCTACATGTAGCCCAAACCCTAATTTGACTTGAAAATTCGGTAACTTTTCTAGGATCTGCTGATTGTGGCTATATCTCTCAAGTTTGTGACTTTTCCTAATTTCAGCAATAATCTTCAAGAAGGACATGACACTCATATCTGCATATTGTGCATTTCTTCCATTTCTCTTAGTCACCAGTTCTCCATCTTCATTTATCTCAACATCCTCAGGATTGAATTTCCAGACAAGCAAAAATGCATCTCCGATATTCTTATTAGCAGCTCCAGAGTATCGATCAACTACTCCATGAACGATATCAGCAACTTCATTTACAAACAGCATGACATCTTCTTGCAAGACTTCAGTTGCATCTGTGAAATTCCTGATGTCACAAAACCCAAAAATGGCGACGACTTTACTGTTGGCATTATCTCCTTCATTACCTATACTATCGGCAATAATCTTCGCTCCTGCTTCTCCAAAACCAATAGCGAGCAAGGCACCAATCTTAATGATGGTCTGTTCAATTTTGACTGTTTCATATTCATCATCTGTTTTTATTTTCCTCACTTTCTTATTCATCTTCTTTTGCATCATCATAGCTCTCTCATAAGCCAGTGCTTCATTCTCTTCTTCAACAGCAGCTTCAAGAGGATTTTTAGCTATCCTATTTACTTTAGAAATCATTCCTTCAATCGGTTTTACTATTAAAAATGTAGCATCTCTTGAGAAAAAGAAGGCTCCAAGAGTGAGGACACATCATACAAAAATGGATCTGGCTAAGCTTAACCCAGCAGTGAGACGCACTGTATATGTGAAATCAAATACAGCAACAGCTCCTCCTTTATCTGTCTTTACAAGTTCTAGCTCATAAGGTCTAAAACTATCGAGATCTGTGCCTTCTTTATCATAAATTCTGTTTGCTTTTGGTATTGAAGAGTTACCATGTATGTAAACATTAATCGCAGGCATTGGGATATCTTTATGCTCTGCTATGTAGGACTCAAACAAGTCGATATAGACTGGTGACATCATATTTTCTGTCTTACTCTCTACAAGATCAAGACCGTATTCAAAATATGCATTCTCTTCTTTATAAGTATTTATGGTAAACAAAGGCACTCAAAGAAGCATCAAAATAACAAGAACAAGTACTCTTCTTGTTGTTAAATCTGATATTTTTTGTCCGATTTGGCTTTCTTCTTGGTCTCCTTTCAATTTCTTCTTTAATGTATCCTCAGCAGTATTATATTTAGGATCTTGGACATATGAAATGAATGCATGAGCATGCCTATACATCTTAAATAATCTAATTAATCTGATAAGCCGGATGATTCTTGAGATCCTTGCTATTCTAGTACCATCTCTGAGGCTTTCTCCTTTCATTGCTGTATTATAAGCAGTTTCTGCATTACTAAATTCTATGCTCCCAAGGCCAAGCATAGCATGCCAAAGCCATCCAATATCAAAGAAAAATAGACTTAGTGTTACCAATAAATCAATGAAAAAGTAAGTGCTGGGAATATATCCATCTGTGAACTTGATATCAAAACAGAAGATTAATATGCACAAAATAATAAGAGTATAAAACAAAGGATCCAGTGCTTTTGGACCTAGATTTCTAATATCGTCTGAGAGCATTGACCATCCTGTGATAATCAACATGAATAAACTAAACCACTTGCTCTTGAACATTTTTATTATTTTCTCTTTCTTTGTCATTTTATTTCTCCCTCCATATACAGTCCCACCTGAATTTGTAGTCAAGTTCTTTGTAATTTGAATTTTCTTACGAGAGGATATTTCACTCATCCTTTCGATAGCCTTCATGTTCTGAGTCAGCTTTTGCTTTTCAGAATCATTATCATCCCCTGAATCACCTTCTTCCTCATCTTTATTGGAAGGAGGGTGCCTTTTTTTCTTATTAGGCTTCTTGCTTGGGATAGATTCTTCCTCTTCATATTCCTCCTCTTCTTCTTCGCTCTCGTAGTATTCCTCATATTCAGAATAACTAGAATGCTTGCCTTTTCTCATTTAAATATATTTATAAACTAATTATTTTGAAAACAAAATGGGGTTTTGGGGTTTTGGGGTTTTGGGGTTTTGGGG